TATTTTCAGAATAGAGAAGAAAATTCTGGTATGGCTTTTCGAGAATCAAACCTAAATGAATAAATGATGGAAACCTGCAAGAACAAGTCTCCGCATTTCGTAACTGTATTTAATCGCTATAAGGAAGAGATTCAGATATATATTTTCTATGAAAAATAAAGCCTAGCTCATTTTCACTTAAACTGAATATATGATTCAAAAAGACTGTCAGCACAAACATGACATCACGAACAAACTTAGGCAAGTGATGAAGATTCTGCAGATTAAATGATGGAGTTAGTCAATTAATTGCTTCTAACTACACCTCCACATTAATTCAGTTAACCTGACGGATAAAATTTTAGATCTGAGTCGTCTTTACCCTCTGAAAAGACGGGTTCAGCCTTTAGCAGTGTGTCAACATAATCAGCATATTCCTTTAAAACAAGCTAATCTACATATGTATTTTTACATCTACAATTATACTTCATAACAAGCTTAAATCGTAGCACCTGGTTCATCTGCTAATAGATAATCAAAGCAGGCAAACCTAAATAGTTCTCGATAGCAACGTTGGTTAAAATGTATATTATGGATTCCATTGGTATAAAACTATTTGCATATAAAATTTTACAGAAACAAGATAAAGTCGTCTTGGGCAAATAACAGAAGTCTGCTTTGCTGTTATACCATGCATAGATTTAAAGTAGCGTCAATAAAAAATCCAGAAGTATTTTGTATAGGATATAAAATATAATTATTTCATATATAACAAAAGCGCTCACTTGCTTCCGACAAGAAAAGTGTGCAGGTCGTTTACCCGAGTTTGATAATGCATTTGACGGAAACCTGTGAAGTTCCTTGAGTTCAATATCATTTCCAACCATAGAAAAGGCTCTGACAATTTCATGACCTCTATCAAGCAGCACTCCCTGCTGTCTAGCTACCATCACCTCCCTCCGCCTTCTTTCCAAAACGGGACGTAGCTCGCTCTTCAGACAATCTTCTTCGAGTGATTCCTTCTCCCTATATAATTCCTCCCCTTCTTCTAACATTCCACCATCCCCACCCATCGCATCGATTTCCGTACTTCGATCTACCTCCCAATCGTCGGTTTTATAGCATTTCCTCGACTCTCCAGTAATTTCTTCAACCTCATCATCTTCCTCTATTTCCTCTGGAATGGATTCCGCAAATTCACTGGCACTCAGCCTCAGATCGGCTGATACTTTTTCGTTTTGGCAATAAGGGGTTCCACTTCGAGATTGAGATCCATCTATAAAAGTGTGAGCTAAGCTCTTTAAATCTGGATGATGTGTCGGAGAAGTAGATGGTGGCCTTATCTGCCCGGACTCTCCAGAAAGCCCAGAAGAGGTTGGCTCTATGATCTCAGTCATAAGTGA